CGGTCTGTTGTCCGAGTCAGGGAGTTGTCTACAGGGGGCAGCCAATGCTGAACTTGGGCCAGCAAAAGATGTGGTTGAACGACCAGGAGGAAATTCGACATGAAGGTTGCAACAGGTGCAAACCTGTTCCTGCTGAACTATGCGGCAAACAAAGTTGCACGTCACGTGACAGCGGTGTAACCTCACTTCAGGATGAAAGAAGCTGACGGTTGTGTTCCACCCTTTCCGTCCTGTAACCAGACCAGATCGGTGGATGCTGCCCCAGCGTAACTTTGAATTTTCCCACCGCGTGGGCGAGAGCGTGCGTCGGTAGTCAACCAGGTAAGCGTTAAACCAACGAACCCAGTTTCATGCGCCAAGTTATCCTTGCCTGGGGGTTGAGGCAGCGACGACAGGAAAGCCTGAAATGGTCATCCTAGATTGTCCCTGAGTTTGCCTGTAGTAATTCCAAGGACTCGTCTCGAAACTACGATTTACCGCCTATCTTCAGAATAATTGAGTGGGTTTTGGCAGGCCAAGATTGCGATTACGGTCTCGAGTAACTGAAAAAGCAGGCCCTTAGCAAAAAATATCGGCGTCGAATGATACTACCGACAAAGGAGACCGGAGTGGCTATTTCTGGCTTATTAGCCGTCGGTCAACCAGCCTTTGTCGGTAATATCATCTTGCCTATATCATGCGCCGCTGTGCGGCTGCTGGTTGGGCTCGATAGGGAGCCCGTAAGGCACAACGGAACGAATGAGTTCCGTAAGAACGATCGGTGAGCGCCCCTCTAGGATCGCCGATCAACTACAGGCGAATTGTTTAGGGAGGGGGGGATGGAAAGTGCAGAATAAACGCTCACCAGCGCGATCTTGCTTCAGAGTGTCCCACACATTGCAGTTGAAATCATCGTAGCCACCGAGCAGTAAACGACCACTCTTGCTGAACGCTACGCTTGTAATGCCACAGATAATGTTGTCGTGACTGAACAAGCCCACCTCCTGATCTGCGCGAATGTCAAAGAGACGACAGGTAGCATCATCACTGCCAGTGCCGAAGGCATAACCACTTGGGAAGAAGGTGATTGCGTTAATATCCGACTCGTGTCCTGGGAAGGTCTGCTTGCACTGCCCATCTCGGATGTCCCAAAGCTAAAGTGAGAACAGAACGGGTATAAGAAAGTTGAATACAGGGGGAGGGAGGGGGGGACAGAAGCCTTGAATTTAGCGTTAGACGCAGAATCCGGGGGGGGGGGAGGGGCAGGTGGATTGCGAAACATATGGGGACTTTAGGAGTGCCCTAGACCCGCTGCAAAAAGGATGCAGGATGAGGCGTTTAAACGGACTTATCAGCCAAGGAAACCACGAGCTAGGGCATTCAAACCTGAGGCTTCATAGTAGGCGTGAGTTGTGTTGCGGTCTGGTTTCTTCACTTGCTTCAGAAACTCCCTAATTGAAGCCAACTCTGTTCCTATGACCGGTCTTCTGACGCATCTACGCCGTAGTCGATTTGCTCGGGCTGGTGGCGACGAATGCGGGGACTTAACAAATGTGTTGAAATGAAGAACCCTCCAAGGGTCGACTCATTCCATTGACGGAATGTAACTTCACAATGATCAGGGGTTTTCAGGTCATACCGGCTTGAGGAGTGGTCCAGTAACACTGACCAGACGCAGACGTTACGATCACTACGGGATATGAAATAAAACAATGCCTCAATGATCTCAGGCTGCGGACCCCTTTCGAACGGTGTTCATGGCGACTGCCTGTTGGGTAAACATCTAGTTTTGCAACTGCATTTTGAGAACAATTATGCGAGACCAATGCGACTACTTTCTATGATGAATACCAAGACGCCAAGAGCTAACATGAGGGCAGACTGCGAGGAATGAGTTTGCATGCATAAAGTGAGGCAACGTGTGGCAGAGCACTACTCCCCAACGGATTCGTCACATGATACTTAGATGGCCCACGGAGTGGCGGCAGAAGTCCCCAGCACCCCATAGTAGAATAAGGTATCCAGACGTCAGCCGGTAGCGGTTTAGTATAGCGAAGGCCCTACGAGAACGCGCTGCCGCTTAGGCTCACACTTTGAGCTGGAAAACAACCGTGGCGGCACCACTACGACACTAACGTATTATCGTCCACCCTCTCTTCTACTCCACTGACGCATCGGCGCGTGCGCATAGACATGCCAAGAAACGAATGCAACGTTGCCTGGCTAGGCGCCAGCCAGGGGTGAATAGAGCTGGTAGCGTAAGAGCAGCATAATTGCTCCCACAAACGGACGCATACAACATTAGTTCCTGCTCCTCCTCCTCCGTCGTCGCCAGACACACGGCACGACGACACAAACGTGATTGGTGGGGGATAACTGCCTGGCAGACTAAAAAGGAGTGGAGGTCTTCCCCTGACGCAAACCCACACGAGTCCGCTTGCGCAGTAGGAAGGCGAAAGGGAGAAAAAGCGAGCAGGAAGCATTCACAACGAGCTGGGGAACCGGGCGGGATGACGACGCGATGGCTGCGGTGGAGGTGGTGGTGATAATGACGATGACGAAGCCGCGGCAGCAACAGTAACGCGCGCGCGCGCGGACGCACCGCAAAAGCTGGGAGAACGCGAAACGGCGCCTTGCTGTCGACTGGCCAATGGAAGAGGTCTGCTAAAAAGGGAAAGGTAGGAGAGGAGACGGGATGCGCAAAAACGCGCTGTGTAGCTGCTGCTGCTGCTGCTGCCACTGGCGCTGTCAGCACGCAGGCACGTCTGCACCAAAATGCGTCCGCCAGCACCGTGCGCGTCTTATCGTCGTCGTCGTCACGGCGCGCGTGCGAAAAATCCATATAGCAGGCGATGGCCGGAGCAGCGTAGCGTGTGGCGGCGGCGGCACGAGCACACACACGCGCGCGGCAGCATCCCCGCGCTGCTAGCGCGTCCATACCACACACACCCAAAAGGGAGCGGCGGCGGTAGAGGAGGAAAAGGCAGCGTGAATGACGACGGTCCAAGCGCGGGTGCGCTCTAGGCAAGATCGCCTACTGCTGCTGCTGCTGCTGCAGGCACGAAGATCTGTGGCAGGGGCAAGCTTTTCGCGCAAGCGAGCGGCCGTCGCGCAGGGCAAATTACAGCACGTGTATGTTTGCAGAGAAAACACGGTACCACAGGAAGAAATAAGTACGCGCAACAGAAGCGGCCGTGTCTAGGCTGTAGAAGTTAAATGCCCCCGAGATGCGTGTATACGAAACAAGACTGGACAAGTGCCAACGCCTCTCGCGGGAGATGACAGACGGGGTCTAGGAAGTAGTTTGGATTGACCGTAGGAGTGGGGAGACGAACTGGACATAAACCGGAGTTTACAGCTGCACAATGGCACAAAAGTTGAGAGTAAAAAAGGAGCAGCGCGATTACCGAGTTACATGATTAGCGTCTGGGAGCTTCGATTAGTAGTCAGATAAGCGTACTTGATAAAAGTGTGCACTTGACTGTTAAGTGCGAGAACCACAGGGGTGAGAAGCGCGCGACTTCGTTGGTCGGCCGTTATGACGAACAGAAACGTAAATGAGTCCCATTTCTCGATACACAACCCGTTGCCCATTCGTCTTGTCCGTTAAACTGGCAGATGCATGTATGTTCCGAAAATTATCACCGAGGCTGCGGCCACGAACGCAAAGCTGAAGCAATCTCCCGGATGTATCGCGTGTGTGGTGATCATGAATGCATGGGAAACTGAAACAACTACCATTCCCTAAAAACTTAGGGAAAACCCCAACACAAACCGCAGTTGATTTATCCCCAACGCTTCGCTGTTAAGGTGGAAGAAAGGCAACCGTATTTCCCAGCAGTGATCGATCACCGATCCCACCTTAATCTACGCGGGCTACAGCACGTCGCCAGCTTCTATCCGCGATCAAGGGTAACTTCGAAGACCTGGTGAGCGTCTGCAATGTCGGAGAACTGGAGTATACTGGGGAGGATCGGTCTGAATAACCCTTCCAACACCCGTCATGTTCTAAATGCAGATAAGAGTAGACACAGCTACCAACCAGGCATTTTGGCCAAGATCCCATCAACTCATTAGTCGAGCAGAGTTGAGTCTGTATGCGTCCTAGGTTGCTGCCGCCTAACCCGTGTGGCATGCGTTGGACGGATGCTTACGCCACTTCATCCACTGCGCCTATTCTGATTGCCAGCCAGCTGGATGGCTCAAACAAGCCACTGGTGCGCGAAACATGAGCCAATACGGAAGTACCTCCTCTCATGACAATCTTCGAAACCCTCAACACAGTAACCTGGTTTACGTCGTCACGACGTGCTGGAAGGTTGCCAGCTGGCGGGATACAGTGGTCTTCCTCAGGACTTGGGAGAAGGCCGCAGGGGCTTTTCCTTAATACGACCCTCATGGCATCGTCACTTATACGAGAGCCGAGGTCCCTCATGGGGGTCTAATATGTGCGGAATTGGAGACTGTAACGTATGACATACGTAGACGGGATGTCTAACTCAACCACTCATCGAGCTTATTTAGGGTCGCCTCCATTGTATCATATCAGTGGAAACGGAGAGAGAGAGGGAGATGGACAAACTCGAGCACAGACCAATAACTGCGTCCTTTTGACATGGTTTGCGAAGAACGAACTGTCCAACAACTGGCTGTGCGCGTACAAGACGAGAGTAAGCTTTAAAGTTGCTTAAGAACAGTTCATCAAGTCCATCGCCCGATTTTATCCACTCAGGCCTGCCGTTCTAAATCCAGTGGCGCCCTGGCTAGAAGGGGAGAGATAGTGTGTCGAAAACTGGCTCGATGCTGTCCGTCAGGGCGATTGGCAATCCGTTGGCATTCGGTTTCCACCAGATCGCTTCGAGCTCACCGGATCCACTGTGAATGGAGAAGTGTAGTGCGAAGCCAGCTAGATCAGGCATGACTACAGTCGTATAAAGCAAGACTGTGGTATTGGGAACGCCAACGACTACCCTTTAACGGAAAATGGACCCGTAAACGATGGCGATTGGGGCGGCTTTACAATCCACAACACCACTCGCTCAACGGTAGGACGCCAGGCTCGTGGCTTGGTGTGTCCACAAGCCCCGCTATAATAATAATAAACCCTTACCACCAAAGCATATTCTACGGCAGCTAGGTCCAGAAGTTCTACGCAGTCGTTTAAAAAGTGCCACAAGGGCAGGGTTCACAGTTAGCCGAGGAGGGAGAAAATAAAGGAATAACAGGCAGAAATAGGGAGTCATGAAGGCCGTGGGCGCGCGTGGGGTGGACTCACTTTCGCGGATGCGTCGCAGGCGCCAGAGACAAAAGTGCGCATGTCGGGAGAGAGACTCAGGCTCATGACGTCGCCAGTGTGTCCAGTGAAGGCGCAGATCTGCTGTCCTGTCTCAATATCCCAGAGACCGCTGTCAAAATGGGAGGCGGGGGGAGGGGACGGTGAGTGAAGCAGTGAAAATAAGCATGACACGATATGTTTACTTCCTCATCTAGGATATCGCGCATGACCTTGGTTTAGCAGCAACAACGCCTATTCTTCCGGTTGAAGCGCAAAAAGGGAAAGGGAGGTTCAGTTTGATAAAAGATTTCGGTCAGATGTGGTTATGTAGCCGCACCTGAGGTAAGCAAACCCAAGTCACCTGTAATACGGGGCCGGTGGTAATAGGGGTTTTTACAGGTGGGGCCGGGCAACGCACAGGCGACGGGGTCAAGTAATTGTATGCAAAAGAAAAGCTATTGCTAATGCGCGGCTGTACCCTGAGTGGTTGAGAAATAGTTGCTCTAACCCCCTGACCCTAACCCTAACCTTAACCGCAGCCCTAAATCCTAACCCTGAAACACCCAACGCGAAAGTAGGATGGAGACGACAGGTCGAAAGTCAAGAAGGACCACCGGCATTGAGCCAAGAAAGGCAGACACGGCAACAAAAACAGGGCCGCCAACAGAACACACACCGCAACGTACAGCAACAGCATGCCAACGCAATAATACCAACTTAAGATAATTAAGTAGGCCAACAGTATTGTGTCCATCAGGCGCGGCTACACAACCACACCTTACCAAGATTTCTAACAAAAGGCACAAAAGTGAAGACGAAAAGAAGGACATTCGGTGGCAAGGTGGTTTAGAGAAAACTACCATCCTTGGAGGACCATGTGGGAACATGGCGGCTTACATGTAGGCAAACGACTAGTTAGCAGAGCACAAACACGCAAAGGCACAAGGACGAGAAAACACGGTGAGAAGTGGTTAGGCAGACGAGGCGGGTTAGTGGGCAAAAAAGTCGACACGCTTACAACAGAGCTGGCGCGGAGACGAATATTTAATTCTCTGAAATTTATGAACGAAAGGATGACAATTGAATAGAATGCAATCAAAACTAAACGTGGAGTACTGCGGGCGACGACGTAGGAGAAATGGGGTTTGGGCGGAAATTAGTTCAGATACATGTGCCCTACCGTAGGCCTCAAGGGATTCAAAACACGTACGGAATCCCCACAAAAAGCAACTGTCGCTTAATGTTACTCGGGGGGTTCCATCGCCCATGTCTGAGATGCATGCAGGAGTGACAGTTCGACCGTCGATTTCGACAATGTCCACCGTGTGCCCCACAGCTGCAGCAGCGGTGGGAGCAGGGACGGTGACTTACGCAGGGGTTTATAGTGCCAGTAGACTTGCGTAGCATCTACCTACACTCTCTCCTCCTCCCCCGCCTGGGCCGGGTGTCAAGACAGAGTCAAGAAGACCGGAGACGAGGGAGGCCGCAGGTGGATGGCTCGGACGGATCCTCACCTTGGCGTTCCACCACACCCCCTGGTCCACACAACAATAACCAGGATTTGAACCAACGCAACATAGATTTGGAGGCTGGCACGGCCGAAGCCGCACCTGGGCGTGCCGCCAACGCCTGGCTCGGATCCCACAGATGGGGGGGAGGGAGGGAGGGAGGAGGGAGTGTGATAGATGTCGTGCAAGTCTGCATTCCCTATAAACTAATTCACGCACAGGCCACCGTCCCTGCTCCACCTTGCTGTGGGGCACACGGTGGACATCGACGGCAACAACGGTCGAACTGTCAGTTGCGATAGTGAACACACCCATCCTACTACAAGAGGAAACAAGAAAATTCATGCCGATACTACGCACCCCTTTTTCACAATACTTGACATTAAGGAGAGTCAAAGTACTACCACGATCTGGCAGTCGAGGGACGAAAGGTTGACAACTGACGTGAGAGCTGATACGATTGTTTTTGATGAAACTACCACTGCAGCAACTCTACGTATACGATTGTTTGAGTTTTCGAATGCTGATTCGGTTGATGGTATGCATCAACACGTGCTGCAACAGGCCTAAGTTCGGGCAAAGAGTGGGAAGGAAAAGATAATGGCACTGGTGCAGGGCAAGCCCTGGTCCAACTTACCTCTCAGGGAAGACATTCCACATCGAAAATGGGAACGCATGCGTCTCGGGTAGATAGCACACCCCAGCCTAGTTTCAATGTGTGTGTGTGTGTGTGATTGCAGACACAGGAAGACAAGTTTCTAGGAGACACTTTGACGAGACTAAACATAATTCATCTGAAATCTTAGGCGCGAATGAACTCGCAAACTGTTAGGCCTCTTCCCCCACGTGGACACTAGTCTGGTAGGCTGATGAAAATTGGCGGAAATATGGTAAGAGTGGGACCCTACTGCTTGAGATGGGGGCGGGGGGGGGCCTTACTGAACAGCGGGCGCCATTCGCCACGTTGCAATGCCACTCCCCTGTGATCATTTTACGAATAACCGGCTTGGCCGATCGATGTCAAGCGATGTCTGAGGATACTGCTACGGCATGGTACGCGCTTGCTTATTCGTCAGTGGGTGGTTCAAATAATCACCACCACCTTTGGATGCGCCGAGTGACCGGCAACTAAATTAACAGGAACAAAGGGTTTCATTGTATCTGACACGAACGCTCCGGCTTTGGAATGTTCCGCAAACACGCTCATCAATAATTGGGCGTTGTGATCTCAGATGCCTGACTGTTCACTACAGAGGCCATAGCTAGGAATCCTTCTTCAATGGACTATCTAAAATTCGGGACAGATGTTTCGAGAATTTACACGGCTTTGTCGTAGAGTGGCGACGGTGGAGCACACGTGCTTTTGAAAGCAAATATTGGATGTGCAGCAGTTAAATAAAGTTTTGCATTCCAAACTCTGTATGTACGAAGCGGAAATGTAAGTGAGAAGAGCACTGTTTTTCAGATGTTCCTAAGTCAACAAGTCTGTCGTAGAGAATAAAATAAGCCCCAAAACACAGACAGGCTATTACGAGCGCGCATGCAGGTGTTTGGTTTACTATTTACATAAATCGTGAACGGTGGCGCCAGCGGCATCATCGTCGTCGTGGGGTTTCCTGAACCCTCAGACGGTCATATGGACACGTAAAAAGAAGCCGTCCGCCCCCGCGTCGGCCTTGGTAGTTCACGTAGCTGGCCTTGGAGACCTGCGATGTTCATCGCAAAGCTGCAGCGTGTGTACAAGCTGGCGGGATAGTTGGCGAAATTCGTAAGTGCACTTTCGCGTTGGAAATCATGGTTTGGTGACGTTGCGGTAACGGTAGGTGCAGAACACCATATCGAGGTCACGCAAGTCGTGACTTGCTGGCTTCTCAAAAAAAGCAGCCTGGGCATCTATGACGAGGTCACTCATTGAGCAAGGTTAGTCAAAGTTTTTTTACACTGCCAACCACTGTGATAAAGCGGACCGATAAGAACCTGTACAGCGTACATCGAGTAGGTTGGAGACAACATCTCGAAATCCGACTTCCGCATAGGATACTTAGACATCCATGTGTCTGTCACGGTGCGGATGGGCAGAGTAGTCGTCGCCAACACCTCTCATGTCCATCGACCTATTAAAGCCGTACTTGCACATCGTTTGAGTCTACTCGATCAGATGCGCATGCATAAAAACCATCGCCAAATTACCGCAACATGCCTGCGATCGTGGCTTGAAAAGCGTCCATTTTCGGCGTACGCTAGTTTTCCCAAAAGAGCCTCATAACGGTTCCACTTATCAGTTGCCTGTCGTAGAGAAATTCGATATGCAATAGCGTTTAAATAGGTCATTTGGTCAAGTCTTCTGGGTGAAAATGCATATAAGGTGGTCCAAAACCAGGAGAACTTGTAGGAAAACACATCCACATGTTAACACTAACGGCTCTTTGAAAAACGTAAATATTTTATATTGCTTGGCTGAGAACTTGAAGTAAAATTCATTTCCGATAAATCACAGGATAGTTGTAGAATAGGTATCAGGGCAGGATTTAAGTACTAGTTTTGGATGCCTTCCGCGTTTAAGCGTAGGGCAACACGACTCAGGTAGTCTTCTACGTGAAAGGAGGACCATAAATTTACTTTATATGCTTTAATAGCTTCGTCGCATACCACAGGTGGCAGCCAGTCGTTAAAAACGCACGTATAGAATCCCCTCCCCCCGAAATCGAGTGGTCAAGGCGTTACCTTAATGCCAGGAAAATTGGAATGGATACCCTGACTAAGTGTATTAATTAATACAAAGCTCGCAGGCATTTTGGCGTTTAGTGATCTTGCCTGCTTGCGTGAGGGGACATGACTGTTCAGCGTTGATTTGGTGTCCAAAAACTATAGTCGTTCAACTCTGCATCAAAAACTGGAACATGTGCAGATGAGCAGTTTGCGACACACTTCAATGAGCCTTCTAAACCAATGTGATGTCCGCGCGAGGAGTGAAATGTGCGCCCAATCCACAGTTTGGACAGTGCATGCATAAAGTGATCATTTTCGACCTTAGGTACTTTTGGGAGGTGTAGCGTCTATGAACTGCACACCAGATGCCTGGATGCAAATGACGTTTATCCGAAATCCAATAATTGGTGGAACATCCCATTGGCGTCGAGAAAAGACTCAGGCAAAGTTTCTAGGCAGGACTGGAAAACGGCACTTGGTTGTGGAACCAGGTCGAACTAGCAAACTCCACACCCACGACTTCAAATATTCTCGACAGCAGCAAACAAGGCATGCGTACGTGATTCAGTAGTGGAACGGCGGAAAATGTGATAAGGACCGCTGAGAAAAAAAACTACAAGTTTGGAAATATAGGAACAACGATCTTTCTAGAGGCGAAACCATAGGAGTCTACGGTCGTTCAAGATATTTAACTCGAAAGGGATGATATGTTGGTGGATGTGTGGGTGGACCAAGCAGGCGGATACTTACCAAGAGACATCACCGGAGCTGGTCACAATTCGATTATCATCAAGGAAGCGGCAGCATGAGAGATAACCGGTATGTCCCGGAAGCTCGCGACTGACACGGACGTTGCCCTCACGCGTTTTAAGGCTGTAGATGGAGCAAATGTTATCGAGACCGCCACAGGCAACAAAGTTCCCCGATGGAGCATAGGCGCAGGTCATGACCCAACTGCTTCGTAGGGGGATTGCGTGCACCTAAAAGGATCAAAATAGAGGCAGCGAGGATTTCCGTTAGCAAGTACAAGCCGACAGTCTATGAGTATCGCGGAGGTAACAGAAAAGTAACGGAACAGGATTAACATTAAGTACCCTACCGATTACCTGACAGTATCAATTATTCCTTGAAAGAGTGCCTGTAATCAATGAACTTATTTAATCTGAGTGAAAAGTAGCGCGCGCATACGATGTGGAGACGTAAGCAGTAAACCCACCTTGTTTGTTGTGTAACCATCCCACACAATGAGTTTGCCGTCCTGAGAAGCAGAGACAAGGTTGCGCGAGTCTGTGGCCCAATGCATGGCGTATATTTTCGCCAAATGACCTCGAAGAGTACGACGGGTGCGCATTTGAATGCGCCCAACAGGATCGACATTTGTGGTGGCCTGAGCGAGGGTCGTATCGGCAGCCGCCTTGCGGGCCTCCTAAAGTAGGGAGGGAGGGGGACGGGGGTGGACGGTGAACATATAACTCAAGAGTAAAGATATCTGAAGGAACAAGTAGTTTCATCGGCAGAAAGTCGACTGCCACGTTCATAGCAAATGAACAAAAAATATGCTTAAAGTCGGTAAAAACTAAAATGCGAATTCCAGGAGCAGGTGAAGAGATATGCTTGGTGCTGAAAGTCAGATACTGTGTTGGCAGAATGTGGCTGGGCTTACCTACAGTGCATGCAATGTTGCTAATTTTCAACGACGTACACAAGCATCTAACTCTCAAAGTTTATTTTTGAGAAACAGAACACCTTAATCATAGTAACCAATGCAGTTACCCCAGTGTTTAACGAGTAGGGCCATGATTATTGACTAAGCTACCGTGACTGCGTGTCCGGAGCTAGAAATCCTCTTTAATCGATACTTGTGTAAAGTGGCTCTCATAACTGACAGTGGCCGACCGGAATGAGCGGATGGGAAGACGAGTTTTAAATGGCCGCTATAAGGAACGAGTTGATAGTATTATCTGCGGAAACATTTTTGCACTTTAAACAGCAGCAAGATGTAAACTGAGTGAGTTGCTTACCCGGATTTGATTTTTTAGCTGCTCGCTTTCTTGCCGAAGCTGGTCTAATTCACTCATTGTCGTGATCCAAACTAAGGGTCAATGGCTGAAACAAGAAAGTCCGATTGAGGGTACGAGACAACTAGGCGAAAGGGCCAAACACCTACTTAGAGAACCATTTTACAGTGAAACTCAACATAGGCTCCGTAGATTTGGACGACATTCCTTTAAAGACGTGGAACAGCAGTCGTAAAGTACAGCAATAAAACAGGTCGTGCTTTTATCCAAAAAATTTACTTGCCGTTAACTACTGCTCCAAACTAACTTAGGCATAGAGGATTAGCTCATTTTTGTGGCTAGAATGACGATAAAATTGGTCGGTAGCAGTTTTATAAAATTGCGTCGTAGGTATGTAAATGTGCCAGATAAATTGATGCGCTGGGGGACGACAGTTATACTAGTAAAATCAAAAACGAGTTCCCCTCAGGGAAATGAGAGATTTACGCCACTAGGAAATAAGTTGAAGAAATCAAAGTAAAGGTGATTGCATGGAACAGAACTCCGCCGAGGCAAACATTATCGACAGGCCTAAACTTGTCAACTGAAAAAAAAAACTTGGCCAACACGAAGGGCCAGAATTTCGTTGATTTGTGATTTGTGTAAAATAACTTCTTTAACAGGATCTTCCACAGTATCGAAGGCTGACGCAACAACAAGAAGGATTAAATTGAGGCCTTGAAGCTATCGCGATGTGAGAAAACAACTCATGAACAAAAGACCAATTGTAGTGACTCCAAAAATAATTACGTCTGTCGAATGAGAGAGACAAGTGAGTAGGTGGGGCATCAACAACCCCTAAGGCACTAAACTGGACGGTCTAGTCCTGCTTTTTAGAGGAGCAAGTGACTGTTTCGAACCAGTCAAAGGCAGAGAGGTTTACATTTGTAATGAATGAAAGTACACGAGGACACAAACGGTGACAATGACATCTGCGAGAGATGGCTGAAAGAGGCGAGTATCTTAAGTGTATGTTCACTTGAGCAAAAAGCACATCGATACAGGATGAACTTCCGACTTGCTCTCATAAAACAACTCTAACCTGTTCATGGAGACAGTATCGCAAGAACTTTTAGTTCTAAAAAAATGAAACCGGGACAATCATTATTTAAGCGTCTTTGAAAGCGTATATAGTAACTCCGGATGTACGTCCAAATCGATGGAGTAAAGGGCGGTATTGTACATAAAATACTTCTAAATGTGAACGTATCCTAGTCGTATCGTGGAGAACGAATTGAAAAACTAAGAGATGCGGTGTTTTCGGAGGGGATGGAAACCGGGCGATAAAGGAATAGCCACTACTACTCACTTATAAAGAACAAACCTGAGAAGTGTGGGTGCAAAAATCGGTGAACAGGCAGACAAGCCTAAGATTACTGCAAGTAACGTGACACTTTCGGAAGCTGTTAGTGCACGCAGTACGAACTTTGTCATGGGCATATATTTGGAAACAATGCGATCCTCACCTCAGGGGAAGCACATCGGCCATAAGCTCAAATTGTGACCAGGAAACAGTTACGATAACCACATATGTAATTAGGTGTATGCAGGTTTTGTCGAGTTGTCATACTGTTTGTCACCTGCCTAGAATTACAAGGCTCGCACTGTTTTCCATCAGTACCTACTCGCAGAACATATCACTTTATAATCCGCGTTAGGGCAGTTAATCCTGGTTTGTAGATGTCAACAAAAGTGAAAACACGTCACCACAAAAGCTGAGTGGTGACATGCACCACACCACAGTACTCCACAACTGCTCTGATAACTGGCCTGTGTAGCCTATGCAACCGCAGTTCTAACGACGGAGGGTGCCGGGAGTAAATAAGATCAGATAGATATAACAATTTCCAGCACGATGACAGATTGTCTGAACATAAGCAAAGCCTGGGTAGAAAATGGATTTTATCGAGCTGCCCGATCATACTACTTTATAAAATGCCAATACGTATAAAAAGAAAATCGTGTGATGACATGAGAAATCACATAAAGTTAATACTAACAC